AAAAAAAAAAAAAAGAAAAAAGACCAACAAATGCAAAATGGGAAAAAAAGGACTTTGGAAATCCTAGGTCAAGCTGGTTTAAAACAAGTATTTACAATTTCTTCCATCACAGTTACTGATGTGACTGTACAATGTTGCAGGTGCGATACAAGCTTTGTCAATGTCAAATTCCTCACTCTGGTCAAAAAAAAAATCCTGAATTTATTTAATAAAAGTTTTACTTGCTAAGTAACTGGGGCTCTACTTCATGTTGTTAGTTGCACCTGCTTTCACCTACTGCACAATGCTTGCACTTGAAGACATCACCAGAGCCCTGGGGCTGATTTAACAGGTCCCATGCAGTCAGCAAACATCTGCCAACAGGCCTATGCCCACAGAATCCAAGCAACCAGTATTCTTTCATAGAGGAAGCATCAACATGTAATACCAACACATTAAAAAACTGTTTAATTAAAACAGAGATTAAAATTCTACTTATATGAAACAAGAAGGTTCACAGAATCGAAAAAGCAGTGGAGCAGGATGTCCCAGGAGTGTGCAGACAGAGGTTAAAGCTAGGGCTGAGAGAAGGCTGGATGTAGTAAAAGCAGACCAGGTGAGGCTGAAGGAGGGGAGATGGGAGGAGGGCTAAGACAGAGTGAACAGTGGAGATCTCTAACTCACAGCTAGCAACATCAGAACCATGGCTAAAGCAGGATGAGAGGGAAACCAAGAGCAGTCTTAGGAAAAGAGCTAAAGTTACTTTGCCACCACTGCTGCCCTGCTCCTGCTTGACACCAATAGGAGGCTTAGTGGGATGGTGGGAATGTAGTTAAAAGGGATATAGGATGGGAGAGGAGACAAACTGGGCATCTTTTAAGGACTGCTGTAGTTATAGTAACTCCTTAAAACCTGGCCCCGGTTGCTGGGGAACAAAACCCAGAGGCAGCACACCTGCTGCAGCCACCAGGGGTAGAAAACCTCCTGCACCCGTGTAGCACCTCCCCGGATGATGGCGAGTGCGGCTTCAGGAGCAGGCGAAGCACTTATGTGCACTTTGCCCCTGGAAAGAAATGGTCAGAGGATCAAAGCCAGTCAATCCCTGGTGTGGTTTTAACTCTGCCACAGGGCTCTGGATGCTCATGTTCAATGCTGAGGCGGATATGCTGAGAGAGCACCAGGAACGCCACCTGAGTCGTTTCACTCAGACGCCATCCGAGTCGTTCCCTCATCGGGAGCCACAGTTACCTTTGTCAAGAACGAAAAGGATCTTTCACTGGCAATTGCCAAAGCCCTCTGAGCTCAGAGCCAGCCTCCACACGGCGCGACTTCCCCCTAAGCCTACAGGAGAAAAAAACCCCAAACCCCCTCACGTCTAATCTTACAGAACGTTTAATTCATTAAAGAATTATGGCACCCATAGTTGGCAGCAGCCACCCCAAGCAGCCGGACCTGGGAGTGGCCGGCGCTGTCCCCCGCGCAGCGCGGGAGGGAGGCGGCGGCAGAGTCCACAGGCCGGAGGCTTGGGGACAAGGGGCTGCAGCGCGGGCCGAGCTCCTGTCGGGATACGAAGCGCAGCGGGATAACCCGCTCTGCCGCCATGTTGAGATACGCCACGACAAACTGGTGGCGGGGACACCCCGCCACAGCGGGCGCGAGCCGCCCTCAGGGCACTCACGATCCGCTCTCCTCGCGGGAGCGCGGGGAGCGGCACGGCCCCTCCCAGCCGTTCCCGGCCCCACAACCTCGGCCCCCGCGGCCGCGCCCCCCGAACCGCCGCCGCTGGGAGGAGCTCCCGGCCCGGAGCCGGTGACGGCTTCCGCAGCCCCGCCGCTGCCGCCATGGCCGCCCGGCTCGTCCCCGTCGCCAAGTGAGTCCCCGCGGCCCTGCCCGCACAGCCCGGCCTGGCGCTCGCCCTTCTCGCTCTGCTGTCTCCGCCCGCCCCGCGGCTCCCGCTCCATGGGCTCCCAGGGGCTCCCCGGCTCTCCGGGCCCGTGCCCGCAGCCCCGGCCTCGCCTCGCTCCTCCGCGCCGCGCCCTTGGCCTCGGCCACCCCCGCGCCCGGCTGGTTCCCGGCCGGCAGCTCCTCCTGTGTCTTCACCTGCCGGACGGGATTGCGGCGGTTTTTTTTCGGGGCGAGCATGAACACGTAACATTAAACCCAGCGTGCCGCGGAAGGGCGCCCGTTTGCCGAGGGAACACGCTCAGATCTGGAAATACAGCCCCACTGGCAGGGAGGAAGCGCGGAAGGGTATTCTTGGGAGCGAACAGTACGTTTTAGCAGAGAAATCCCTTTTCCCCAAAATACGTGTGAATACATGAATTTAAGTATTGATTCTCTTCTTACCTCTCTCGACAGCTGTATCTGTCCCTATATTCTACTACTGCAGTACCACTGTTTGGCAGGTTTTGGTTTGTTTGTTCATACAGTAGCTTTTCTTGTTTTTTTAAAGGGAAAATAATTCTCTGTCCTGTGAATCTGGAAAAGTCAGTCTGCTCAGATCTCATAACGAACTTGCCAGTAAAGGCCAAATACTATCTTCCTGTCATCCAGTTTGTAGGTTGCCACTACAGCTGTAAAACTGCACACCATGCAGTCTGCTGGGAAACTTTAAAAGCCTGGGCAATGCAAACACCATAGCCAGATGTTAACTGGACTTTAATGAGCTTAACGAGGTATTGGTGTCTATCCTTATTAATAAGGCAGCAAGAAGCACATGGATGACTTACCCACTGCAGAATCCGTTAGTTCCTTTTATCAAAGGTATGTGCCAGAGTGGCAGATACTCTGAGATGCTTGACACTTTTGCCTTTTTTTCGTGAAAACTGTTACTGATAAAATGCGAATAGGTACAGTTTCAAGGGGCTAACAGGGAGCAGTTGGCCTAGGAAAAAAAGGAAGGTAGCTAGATATTTTTCCGCGGCTTTTTGTCTGCAGTAAGACATTAGAGTATTTGTGACCCTTAGATTTCTTTACTAATACCCTCCCTTTGGCAGTCACAACCTACTGAGACATATGCACTGATGGTCATAATGTGAACTGAACTGTTCTGCTTTTGATCCTTTCAGGTTTGTTATCAAAGGAAGCCTGGCTGGAGCTGCTGTTTATGTGGCATATGATCAGGGGCTGCTGGGCAGTGGCACACAAGGTGCTGAAGCACTCAAAAAAGCTCAAGCAGCACTGCCTCCAGCTATCCAGGAGTGGACGAGTTACCTAGGCTGGGAGGTAAGGACTGTTTAGATGGACAGTGCAAAACAAACACATTCTCTGAATGAGGAGGAAACATTGGGGTGATATTCTGATTCCAGTGAAGTTGGCAGGAGTTTTACTGTTGAAAGTAGATTTAACATTGCAAATATTTTGAAGAGGATTGAAATGGAAGGAGAATAAAATTTTAAATTTGGGGGAGATACACAGCTCACAGATGTTACTTCAAAGGAGAAAGGGTAACCAGCCTGTGCAGGGTCGAGGAGGGGATTGCAAACATGCTCTGGGTGATATTTCACTATGTAGCAGTATTCCTAAGCTTCTTTTGAAGAATCCTACATGCTTTTAGAAAAACCAATGAAAATATTATCCTCCCATATTCTCAAATTGCTAACAGTTCATCAAATTGAATTTAAATTGCCTGAAGAGGCCCTTCTCTATTAGTTCTTAGTTTTTAAAATCCTCTGAAAAGAAGCCTTTGCTTTAAGTTTGAAAAGCATTTTTCATGTTAGAGACAACTATAAACTAAGAGATGACAGCCATGTAAGGAGACAGCCCAGGAGACGTTTTTCACAAACACCCAAATGATGTGTACTACCTTCTGGGGAAAAGAGCAAACCCTAGACTTAAAGTGTCATGTCTGATCCCTTTTGAGACTTAGGGAGAGTAGGCATCTAAGTATTTTTGAGATCTGAGGCCAAGAGGCTTTGCCAACGTGATGTGAATTCTAAGTGAAACGCCTCAGGTGCTGATATTTTGTCTTTCTCTTTCTAGCTCCCACCCACTCCAAAATTTGACTTTTCCCCCTCTGATTCCTGGAATAAAGGTAAAATAACTGCTCACCAAGCTCTGAAAGGAGCAAGGGGCCAAGAGTGATGTAGCTTACACCAGTCTTGTTTCAACATTGTCCTCCTAAATTGAATGATGGAGAAGGAGCTGATAGATGTTACAGTCTGGTGGAAGAAGCATTGGGAATGGGACTGAGGAAGCATATTCTGCTTCAGACTAGCACACTGACTGACTTTGGACTTAATTTCTTGTTGTTTCAACTGTGAAATAAGGAGGAGGATGTGTCCCCATAAACCTGTCTGCCTTTTCTAACCGGGGAGCTGGTGTCTCTACCTACAAAGCTTGCTGCCTACCTGTGC